CGCGGGCCTCACATTGCTGTGGCCTCTCCCGTTGCGGAGCACAGGCTCCGGACGCGCAGGCTCAGCGGCCATGGCTCACGGGCCCAGCCGCTCCGCGGCACGTGGGATCTTCCCGGACCGGGGCACGAACCCGCGTCCCCTGCATCGGCAGGCGGACCCTCAACCACTGCGCCACCAGGGAAGCCCCCCTGGTGCTGTTTTTAGGGCAGCAGCTCGGACTCCTTTGCTGCTGTTTTATCACAGAGGAGACCCTTTCCTAGCTGTGTTTTGAGTTTACTTAAGGAAATCTGAGTTTTCACTTGCTGTTGTATCCTCTTTATACAATAGAACCCCCCTCCTTTGTTTCTTGCTGGAATCGTCAACTTTAAAATTTTTATCATTTGCCGATTTCTTCTGTGTCTCAGAATCCTGAACTCTGTAACTTTGCTTTCATTTCTCTGTTAGAGCCTTTTCCCTAAAGTCTGTTACGTGTTGAGAACAAGGGGAATTATACAGGCAATACAACTTGAAAAAAATGATTCTCTTTCCTTTAAAGAACAATTCCCCCCACCTTCCCCAAAGATGACTCTTCCCGTCTAACCCTGAGGTCTTTCTTCACAATTACTGCGGTTTTTAAAGACAGGCCCTTGTTAGCAAAGAACATCTGCCAGGGGTCGGTTACCTCACCCTGGAAAGGGGCAGGTCCAGCAAGGAAGGGCCCTGTAGGTGTGAGAATTCCCTCCTCGGCCTTGTGCAAGGCCACGGCCAGCTGAGGGCCGGCTCAGGCTTCGCTTCCCAGCCCGGTTCTCTTCCCAAGCCCACCCTTCTCTCATGTTCCGGGAAACAGGCTTCCTCTTGCTCTGCCCGGGAATGCTGGCACTGCCATGTCAACTCTGAACTTGGGTTTTTAGCAAACTGCAGACTGACATGAAGACCACTAACTTGGAGGAGATGAGGATCGCCATGGAGACGTGTTACGAGGAGGTGCGCGCCCTCCTGCCCCAGGGCGGGGGGGCGGGGTCGGAGGGGGGAGGGCCAGCTGCACTGAGGGGCCCTCTTCTAGTTCATCTTAACTTGAACACAAATCAGCAACTTAGTGCTCACTTCCTGCCACTGGGCAGAAGTCGGGAATCACTGCAGTTTTTTCATTTTGTATTAAATGCGTTTTAATTTGGTGTTTACAGATTCATCGTCTCCAGACTCTCCTGGCAAGTTCTGAAACGACAGGAAAGAAGTATGATCCTCTCCTTGGGAGCCATGTTTCATATGTTGTTTTCATGTTAAACTGCTGTCAGAGCAGGGTAGGCCTTATGTGGAGCCTGCAGACACTGCCCTGACTTGGGAGCCTGCGCCCATGTTACTCATGGTTAGAGCTGGCATGTTTCCCTTTGGGATGTTACAGACGTGCCCTCACAGTTGCCATGTGCTGCCCACTAACAGCACAGTCGGTGCTCTGGGCTTTCATTGTCTGCACTACTTTACAGCTTCCAGCTTAGACTTAGAAAACACTATTTTTCAAAGCAGATCTTCCTTTTCGGAAGACACTTAGTACCAAGTACAAGTTCATCTTGCCGAATAAGTTTATTAGGAGAGACATGAAAGTTTCCTTATCTCGTGGCTTTTCCCTTGTCCCTTTCCCAGGTGATACCAGGCTTTCAACAAATTAGGAAAGGAGGGATCCCTTATCTTAGATTTGGTTGTGTCACCAGCCTCTGCAGTGAATTACTGACATTTATTGAGCGTTTACAATGTGCCAGGCACGGTCTTCCCTTTTCTCCTTTCCTCCTAGTAGTTTAAAATGAGGGCTGGTCGGGACTTCCCTGGTGGCACAGTGGTTAAGAATCTGCCTGCCAGTGCAGGGGACACGGGTTCGAGCCCTGGTCCGGGAAGATGCCACATGCCGCGGAGAACTAAGCCCGTGAGTCACAACTACTGAGCCTGCGCTCTAGAGCCCGTGCGCCGCAACTACTGAGCCCACGTGCCACAGCTACTGAAGCCCGCGTGCCTAGAGCCCGTGCTCTGCAACAAGAGAAGCCACCGCAATCAGAAGCCCACGCACCGCAACAAAGAGTAGCCCCCTCTTGCCGCAACTAGCGAAAGCCCGCGTGCAGCAACGAAGACCCAGTGCAGCCAAAAATAAATTAATTAAATAAAATAAAATAGGGGTGGCAAACTTTCTGTAAAGGGCCAGAGGAGTTACAGTCGATTCCCATTATTCACAGCGTTATGTTCTATGAAGTGTCCACGAACACTGAATTGGCAAATGCTGAACCAGTGCTTCTAGGTGTGAGAAGTTCTGTTCCTGCGACCCTCCGGTCACAGCTTTCCCACCACCTGACCGGCATACAACCCGCCTTCATGTGTGTTTCTGTTCAAAGGCACCTTATTTAGTGTCTGTTGTTGGTTCATTAGCACTGAGCTCTTGACCATCCGCGCCGTGACTCAGGCCTGAACGAAGCTCTGACACGTGCGGTTCCTCCCTGAGCTGTGTCACAGCCTCCTAGCAAGTAAGAACTGTGCTGCAGGGGACCACTGAGAGCGGTGAAATCAACAGAAAGCACAAAAATGAGAAAAGACCTCAAAACCCACCCTGTGGATGGGACGAGATCTGAGACCAGATGCGGATGGCGCTTGTCCCCCCCAGCCGGGAGCGAGCCCGCCTGCAACTCAGACCCTCGTCCGTTCTGCCCGTGAGGGACCACAGACCGACCGCAGAGGCACCGCAGGCATCGATTTGGGGGTTACAGATACGTTTTAGTGAGTAGGCGAATTTGCAAATACGGATTCTGTGAATAATGGGGATTGACTGTATTTTAGACTTATTTTGTGGAATAAAAGGCAAGATCAAAACTATTATCTAAGGGGCTTCCCTGGTGGCGCAGTGGTTGAGAATCTGCCGGCTAATGCAGGGGACACAGGTTCGAGCCTTGGTCTGGGAAGATCCCACATGCCGCGGAGCGACTAGGCCCATGAGCCACAACTACTGAGCCTGCGCGTCTGGAGCCTCTGCTTCGCAACAAGAGAGGCCGCGATAGTGATAGGCCCGCGCACCGCGATGAAGAGTGGCCCCCGCTTGCCACAGCTAGAGAAATCCCTTGCACAGAAACGAAGACCCAAACAGCAAAAATTTTTAAAAATTAATAAAACTCCTACCCCCAACATCTTCTTTAAAAAAAAAAAAAAAGAAAAGAAAAAACAAACTATTATCTAAGTACTTATGGAACAACAGAGAAAGTAAATTTCCACAAGTTCTTTAGTGATCCTGTTTAATGTCCATTGCTAATGACTGAACACGGTATTTTGTGACATGGGCTCGCTGATGAGAAGAACGGATAGCAGTCTGCTTGTCTGGGCTTCAGAGTTAGTGTTCCCTGTTTAATCGCAAACGTTCATCAGCAGAAACCACGCTGAGCGCCCAGGCTGCCGAGTGCCCACCCCTCACTTAGGACGCGTATTAAACCAGTTCAGGCACCAAACCTTAGCCGCTTGGTCTCGTTCCTCCTAGGCCTCCAGTGGAGAAGCACATCGGCCTTAAAAGGCAGAAAAAAATGAGCAGTGCCCTCCTGAGCTTGTCCCGGAGCGTCCAGGAGCTCACAGAGGAGAACCAGAGCCTGAAGGAAGACCTGGACCGCGTGCTGAGCGACTCCCCCACTGTCTCCAAGATAAAGGGTACCTGCTCCCCAGAGCCGCCAAGGGGGGAGGCGGGGGTGGGGATGCCAGGAGGGGCCCCAAGATGCGGGCGGCTGTGGCCGCAGGGGAGTCGTGGCCCTCCTTCCCCCGCGCACCCCGGGGCAGCGCTGCTCCAAGGTGTGTTCCAAAGCGGCGGGAGCCTGCTGAGTGCCAGGCGCCGTTCTAGACACAGAGCTAGAGCAGTGAAGGCGCTCCTGCTAAGACGAGAAGCCAGCAGGTCAGATGCTGGCCAAGTGGTAAGAGCGTGGGTCAGGGGGCCGCGGCGGGGGAGGAGGAGGGGGGCCGGGGGGGCACCAGCAGGCGCAGAGCCCCCGAGAGTCCCGGCGCGTCTGAGGCCGGGGGCCCAGCCTGCGTACGCGCTGGCCATGGACACAGAGGTGAGGGCGGGGGAGAACAGGGCCCTGCAGGCCACTCAGGGGACAGAGGGCTGGAGCAGGGGTGGGAGGGTCTGCCTCGCCCCTCGAGGACCCCCTGCTCCTGTGCTGAGTGGACACCGTGCCAGGTGGCACAGCAGTGGTGAGAGGTGGCCAGGCTCCAGTGCACGTGGGGAGTGGGTGCAGCCTGTGAGGGACACGGGGGTCCGGGCTACTGAAAGGACAGGCGGGGGTGGGGGACGTGGAGCGAGCATGCCGGGGGGGGGTGGGTAGGTGGCCGGTGGAGGTCGGTGAGTCGGGGGTCGGGCAGGGCCCTCGGCAGGAGGACCGGTCCTGGAGGCCGTCGGGGACCAGATGACCCGGCGAGAGTCCAGTCACCCAGCGAGTGAGTGGGGGGAGGGTGGACCAGCTGAGCCGCTTGAGGGACCGCCAGGAGCGTGTGGGTGCCGGGGAACACGCTGGTGGTCCGGGGGCTGCGGCCGAGGCCAGGGCCTGGGATGTGGCGGAGTGGACTTGCTGCTGAGCTGGAGAAAGGCCGTCTTGGCAGGCTGGTGAGGCCAGAGCCCGACGGGCTGGAATCGGGAGAGAAGGCCGCACTGAGCCCTCTCCCGACCGTTTGTGTCAGTAAAGCCGTGGTGAAAGGGAACAGACGTCGCCGTGGGGCCGCCCTCGGCACCACAGGTCTGCCGGGCGTGGGGCCGCCGGCCGTGGGGGCCAGCCTGTGGAGGGGATGCCGTCGGGCCGTGCTCCAGACGGGAGGTCCGGGCCGAAGGGGCCCGTCGGGACGTCTGTACGAAGGGCGCCTGTCACACCCCGCTGTTCCATCAGGCTCTGTGGAGTGGAGCAAGCCCCGGCTGCTTCGGCGGATCGCAGAGCTGGAAAAAGTGAGTGTGGTCCCGCTACGGCACCTTCCCTGCTCAGGACCTGCCTGTGTGAGAGCAGCCGGTCTTAGAACATGGGACAGACGTAGCGCCGCTCCCGGGACTTATGCAGGGAGTCGGGTCGCACTGAACATGTAAACGGTGGCTGTCTGTCCGCAGACGGCATGCGGACACGCTGGCAAGAGGAGACTCTTACGGGTCCGGACGTGTCATTCCTGTCCCTCGTGTCACAGACGGCAAAGCATGGTCACACGACACACCAAAACGTTTCAGGCTCTCGTGGGCACCCATCGCTGGGTGCGTAGGATCCCAGAGCCTTTCAGACACCCAGCCTGCCGTGCACATGGGGGCTCTTTACTGCCAGTCACTTACCAGACTGTGTTTCTCACCACCCGTATAGTATTTGAATTCACAGAAAACTGTGCATCCGCACTTTGCCAACCAGGAAATTTAGGAAGTTAACGTTTCCTCATATCCCCCAAGTGAATTTGCAAATGTCGTCAAGCTGATTCTGTTGAAATGGGTCAGAAGTGTCCCTACCTTTTGAGTGCTGGTACAGTATCAAGTTAGAGCTGTCAACTGTTTGGTTGAGCAGAGTAAACCTAGAGGGGAGCGATCAAAAAACACAATAATTTCACGTGTTTACAAATCAGAAAACTTAAGTGTCTATAAATTGTGGGTAGTTCAAGAATAAAGCTTGTTAGGAAAGAAGGGCAGCCAGAGGTGCTCCAGAGCCGGTGGGGCAGCGCTCTTCTGCTCGGAGAGATGCTGGTATCGGTGGAAATCTGAAGGTGCTCAGTATCTCCAGCTGGCAGAGCTGGATCGTCTTTGACGTGTGAAAGCACAGAGGCTGAAAATTCCAGACGTCCTAGGGAAATAATAGGATAAACAAGCACAAAGAAAAGCAGTTTTTACGATTTCACTTTCTGTGCTCTGCTCTCTGTTTATTACCGCACCTGCCCCATCTCGGCTGGGTCTGCGTGCTCCCTGCTCCAGAGAGAGTGAGTTCTGGGTGGGGGGGGGGGGGGG